GTGTGTGTGTGTGTGTGTGTGTGTGTGTGCGCGTGCCTATATGTATGTGTGAGTGTTTGTGTGTATGTGTGTGTGAGTGTGTGTGTATGTGTGTATGTGTGTGTGTTTGTGTATGTGTCTGTGTGTCTGTGTGTGTGTATGTGCCAGTGAATATGCTTTGCCATAAGTCTGAATCAGGTCTCATCTCCTTAACAGAAAACAATGGAACGAAGCAGTTCTCATAACAATATGGAGTATCTATTCTTCTTTGATTTTGTTAAAATATCATCGTTCGAGTAGGCAAATGATGTTAGAATAGAACTATAATCGAAAATGTAAAGACTGCATCTCAAGTTGGAAAAGAGGATGGAGCATGAGCTCATAATTGACCATACGATTAGTGCAGCGTGCTTTGACTTTGATTGTTATGATTCGGGGGTGGGGGCAATACGTTCTCCTTTTTTTTTTTGCCCAGCTCAGCTCCCAATATAATTCTAAAGCATGTCTTACTTGTCCGCTGTATTGGGGTCACTGCAGTCGGAACATGTCCATCTCTGCTCCCCCCCCCCCCCCCCCCCCCCCCCCCTCCCTCTTCAGGATCCATAATATCCCAGAGTCTAAAGCATGTACGTTGTGCATGTATTTAACGCGTACATTTTGAATGTTTGTCCTCTTGGAAAAGTAAGCATAATTGTCTCTTTTGAATTTGGAGACGGGCCACCCCCTTCTGAGACAAAGAGAAGGCAGATTTTTTTTCTCTTGCATCGTCCGCCCAGCCTCGCTGCCACGTCTCCAGTTGTTCAAAGATACAAAACGTTCCCTGTGACATCTTTAGGAGCGGACTCTTTCACATTTTTCAAGAAATTTTACCATGCAATAATACTTGTACATATGCATCTTCATCTATTATATTACATGTATGTACATGCATCCTTTTTCTAGGCCTACTCTTGTGTCTTTTTGTGTGACCAAAGTACGTACGTGGGTTTTGTGTACTATTAAAAACTTAAACTGTTCAAGAGACCACCTCAATCTCCAGGACAATTACCTGTACAGAACACTCCCCACCCCTTGTGTTTTGTGAAAAAAACCCAAAAAAAAACCCAACTATTTATTACATGTAGTATGACACTGTCAAAAGGACAGCCTGCCTAAGAAAACAACCACTTATCGCTCGTGCAGAGGTGGTTGTGTTGGACAGGTTCGACTGTATCCCCCCCCCCCCTGTTTTGATTGTGTCAAGGAACCAGTTTTCATGAATTACATGTATTCTTAATTCTTTCAGAAGAAAGAAGTTTGCTCTCCTTTGTTGAGTTCACTGCCATGGTATCTTTAGTAGCCTTCTACAGCATATCACACTTAAGCTCATATGAGATTAAACTCATTAAAAGAGTTGTTATTCATATCGTCATAGTAGTAGTAAAGCCATTCATTTAATTTGCTTTCTACCTTCTTGACATCTTTAACTTTAACCATTACCACAGATTCCTGTCTGGGCCTACATCTCAAGTGTACTAAAACTGTACTGATTGCTGCTGCTTCTTCAAGCATCATCATCATTGCCTTTCTCACTCTGCACCAGGGTGTGTAGGCCACGAACAAACACTTTCCTGTTTCCACCTTTCTCTATCCTGGGCTAGCCTCTTAAATTGATGTTATTCTATGTCTTCTCACTTTTCTGTACATCAATTTCTGTGATTCTTCTCCAGGTTCCGTTCAGTCTTCCCCTTGATCTTTTACCCAGTGGATTCCAGTCCAACACTGTCTTTGTAATGCAGCTGCCTGATTTCCTGAGAGTATGTCCAACCCATCGCCACCGCCTTCCTCCTACTTCATCTCTTCAAGCAACTTGATAATAATACTGTCCCCTACACAGCTTTGGGGAAATATCAATGCTCATAGATTCTTGAACGTTGCTTCTTTTCTTTATAAGTTATTGTACCCTGCCAAAGAGTTTTCGACTTTTCATCGCCATAGAAAGACATTCTAATTCTGTTTTTGTAGTTGACATCTTAACTACAGAAAGTTGAGAAATTCTTTTAAAAAATTATTCAGTTCCACGTAACCTTTTAAAAAAAACTGTCACCACTAGCAAGATTATCTCTTGTTTTTTTAAATATGAAATAATACATGACAGCGACATGAACATACATGTATCTTGTATGGTGAACACCTCTGATTCCCCTTCTACTTCTACATCTTAAAAAAAAAAAAAATTCTTTAAATGTAGCATTCAAAGAGGTGATCACCTAACTCAACTGGTTCGATTCCAGGCTTTCACAGACATTATAGTTTATTAATCGGATGAAGACTTATTTTATTTCCGAAATTTTGAACACTCACAAACATGGTGTAAGATCAAGCTTGTAACATTTAATATACATGTATAATGAGTACATGCATGTACATGTACTACTTTTCCCAAGGAAGGCCATCATAATAACATTCACCAAATCTCGTGTTAAAACGCTTGCTGATTACAGATTTAAGCTTTTAAAAAGCATATTTACATAATAAGGGTCATTTAGTGCAGGGAAAAAGGAAGATAGAAACAAGGGGAATAGTAAAGAAGCAGAACATACTACAGTAATATTAATAAAAGCAGTATGTGTAGTGAACTCCAACTCCAACGATTTTCTTCTCCTTCACAATGTTTTAGTTTTTAATAGTCCACTCTGCTTGAGCTGAACTTCGGCAACTCCAACGATTTTCTTCTCCTTCACAATGTTTTAGTTTTTCCACTCTGCTTGAGCTGAACTTCGGCAACTCCAACGATTTTCTTCTCCTTCACAATGTTTTTTTAGTTTTTAATAGTCCACTCTGCTTGAGTTGAACTTCGGTTAAGTTGACCTTTCTCTTGGGTCCCACCACCTTTTTCTTTACAACAGATCTCAACAGTTGTGAGTTAGGTGGAACTTTGGATGTGTTGATCTTTTTTCACTCCCTCAGTGCCATTAACTCATTCGCAGTTGACTATAATAATAATAGTAGGTTTTATGGCCCTTGCAACAACATTTGAAAAACAAGTACCTAAGATCAGTAGAGACATTGCTAGAGAGTAGGCCAAGTCTAAGAAAAGGAGAGATGAGGACGATAGATGTTCCATAGTAGATATAGTAGATAGGAAAGGGAGCAAACCAGACCACAGCACCTGCCAACCACACACTCTTCCCACCAGTTACCCTTGAGCCTGAGTTAGCAAGAGGAAACAGAAACACATACATGTAGGCTACTGTCTTTCTGTAGGGTACCCAAGGGTTATTTTTGTTGTCTCCATCAACACAATGTATAATCAGGCACAGATAAATATGTCGGGATTGATAAATTTCTGTCCCTGTCTTTTTATGCAAGAAAAATTATGAAATTATGCAAACTGAGCCCAAAAATGGGAAATTATGCGATTCCGTTAATTTTAATAAAGAATGATAAAGGAAAATAATGAGAAATTATACCAAAAAATGATCGAATTTTGCTAAATTAAGCGGGGTGCATAAAACCATGGGGACAGAAATTTGTACATGTTAGTTCTTCCTCATTATCTGATAACCAAAAATCAACATGGCAGTCAGGCCGAGTCAGGGAAAGGCAAATTGTACGAGCCAGAGCCATCAGTGATTTTAAATTTTCAGTGTTGGCGTTATTTGTGCCTGCCGACTAGCCTACAACATTCAGGAGGTCAAGTGACAGTGGCTTCCATCGATCCTGCCTGTTGTCAGGGCTAGCCTGAGCTGAGTGGGACACACCAACTAAGTTCTTAGTGCACCAATCTAACCTATTAACATCTGCAGCAACAGCAAAGAGTTGATCCATTGCACCTCTGACTCCAGAGAGCCTTCTTTCTTAACCCTATCCGTACGCCCTGGGGTCATTTTGTACCCCGGGGGTTGTATTCTTCCCATTTTAGAATACTTTTAATATGAAGATAGATCTCTTTGAAACTTCTCAGTATTTTTCAAAAAATCATTTTGACAGACTGCTATGCAAAGCGTACGGATCGGATTACCGAGTAAATTTCCTCTTTGAAAAGTGGTGGCACAGAGTTCCCCCACGTAGTATGGATACCATAGTAAAACACGACATATGGATAGGGTTAATTCAGTAACATAATGCAGAAAGTAGGCTACACTTATGCTGAAAGTGACCAGATCTTATAGAGGAGGTATGTACACAACACCATGTATAAAAGTATCGGAGATCCAACTTAATAACCGCAACTCTAAAACATCTTTTCCCCCCGTCTTCCACGACTTGGAATACTTGTTTGTTGATTAAAGAGAAGCACAGCGTCACAATAATGGACACTTAGTGCTGGGAAAACGTAAAACAGACAGTAACAACAGAGGGAAAGTATAGAAGTAGGACCTAGCAGTGGCACCCTCCAATCACCCGCACTTGGAACAAAACTCAAGGCATAAAAGTAACAGCAGTTATCATCTATTTATGTACAGGCGTCAATAATACAGAGTGAGCAGAAATAATTTTTGATTTCGAACGAGTTTTACAGCACTTGCAATATGCAAGTGCCGAAGTTTAGAGATGTTACAAGGGAGTAACAAACACAAAAGAGGAGGAGACATAGGATGATAGATGTTTGATAGGAAAGAAGGAGCAGACCACACCAGAGCACCCGCCAAGCACTCACAAGTAAATTTTAGACCTTCCAGGCAACTATTACCATCATTAAACACAAAGCAAAACCAAGGAAGAAATTTGACCGATTTCATTTTATTGATGAAAAAATTAAAGATTACATCATTGAAGAAAACTATTACCTTAACAAAAGCAATAAGGACAGAGACAAGGACACCGATGATTTTTTCTACAGAAATGCAACATAACCTGTACGGAACCGGGAACAGACCTGAAAAATAGCCTACCAATATGAACAACGGCAATGAAATGTCACACGTACACACAGACGAAATACTCACGACGGAGTACGACGGGCAAACAGATGATGAACGACGATACTCCAAACCCAATTTATGCATCATCTCTAGCAAACAATTATTCATGCTAAATTCACAGATTAAAATCAGTCTAATAAGATGAAGATAAATAGAATAAAAACAAGAGAGTTATTAACCAACCGATTTATCCGTCCACACTTTCAACTGATAAAACAACCCTACACAAGAGGTGTATTATTGGAAAAAAACAACAACCCAACAGGATAAAGGCGAAGAAGTCTGTGCGTTATTTACACAAGATTTGATTGCAGCTGTACCAGTCAATCACAGGAACTCTCTCTCTCTTCACACCCAATCAACCTACTACGCAGGAAGATTCGGGTGCTCACACGCGCGATATTTCGCTACTAAACGGTCGAGAGCGGTGGTGACGAGATATAGATTTCACTAGATGTCCACTGTCCACCGTGGGTGCGATCTTCAAATGGTGGCAGGCAGAATTCAGGGGCAGTGTCAGGTCTTTCTCCTTTTCCTTTGTTCTCTAGAAAGTCTCGAGGCAGCGCTTCTGATTACTCTTCCACGATCTTTTCTTCCACTTTGACCAAAAACTCAATAATTTCCTCGGTGAAGTTGTCTCCCTGGTTGTGAAGTTCGTCCGTGTCGATGCCTGAAACAAAACAAAAGGAAGGGGGGCAATAAATGGTATATTCAGAGAGTGGAGCTCATTTGAGGGGTACTACAGCATAAAACGATGCAACCCCAAACAAAGATGGGATAATGGGAGCCATTACTGCAAGACAAGAAATAAAACCAGAATATTCTCTTTGACACCTGTGTGCATGGCAGGGACATTTTTGTAGGAGCAACAAATGCATAAAGCGGAGAGATAAAACTTGGACTCGCATAGTATTTTGTATAATTTTTAGCAACCCCTCCCTCCCTCTCTCCCACAGTATACCAAATCCAAGTATGAAACCACGATGATCACAAACTCTTACAGGAACCTAAAGGGCCCACTAAGGTACCGTACAAACTAGTAACAAAAGACAGTCACAATGGGAGCATCAGCATGTAGGTTGTCATCAAAGGCATCAGCCGAAAGATGGTTTCATGTAACATCACTGCTCTCCACTTTGACTACATTCTTTTGCATAGAACAGGATCAAGTGCCC